CCTGTACAGTAAGTTATTATTCTAGTAATTTGGAGATTGGAAACAATCTCATTTTTATAGAATTATGTATAAAATAATCGTTGTTTTTTTAAACAAATTTTTAGTTTTTAATACTGAAAGTTTATTTATATCTTACTCTCGCTGTATTATGTTGATTCTGAAAAACTTTTAAAAAATACTAAAATTGGAGAAAACAAATTTAATACTACGAACGTATAAAATAATAGAAAAATAGTTTAGTATTCTGGTTCCAGTACTTCCTGAAACATCTGAAAACTAATACAAGAAATGAGGATTTGCTTCTAATAAAATGCCCCCCCCCAGTGGCACAGCAGTATGTCTGTGGATTTACAACGCTAGAAACCGGGTTTCGATACCCGTGGTAGGCAGAACACAGATAACCCAATGTGTAGCTTTGTGCGTAACTACAAACAAACAAACAATCTAATAAAATGTAGTTATTAATTTTTCTTTCAAGTAAAATGGAATATTTGACACGTACTTCCACAAAATTCTTTTTTCCTAATGTGAATTTGTTTCATTGTTGAATTTCGCGCATAATTTGTTTCATTGTTCAATTTCGCGCATAACTACTCGAAGACTATCTGCACTAGCTTTCCCTAATTTTGAAGTGATAGACCAGAGGTATGGTGAATAACACCCGACGCCAACTCTTGGCTTACTCTTTATCAAAGAATAGTGCAATTGATCGCAACATTATAACGTCCCCACAGCAGAAAAAGATCAATTATGTTCGTTGATGGGATTCGAATTCGTGACTCGCAAATTACGAGTCGAGTATCCTAACCACCAGGATCCCTGATGTGAGAACCTTTATGCTTGATGCATTATTTATACCAAAGGAAAGTATGCGATAAGCATCTAATTGATACGAACTCATTAACTCTGTAATTTATTAGATTTGCAATCTTGTTTAAAGTGTATAGCGCTAACCGGCGGTATCTACATTTACATGTATGTCTGCTATATGCAAAATACTGCTCAAGGTATAATTGTACATCTTTTTCTAGTTCCTTGTTATTCATAATGAGTATGAGTTTCAAACTATAAAACTATTCTGATTGAGATAACGTTTCTTTTTTTAAGGTAACAAAAGAAATATTTTCTGCCGTAGAAGAACGACCATAAACTAATTAAACATTTATTGCAGGATTTAATCGAACTATCGCGACAGATCTAGGACTATTCTTAGCCGCATGGCGCGGTTATTAACGGCAACACGTTAGTATCTTGTCGGGCTTAACCTAAGCGTGACGTTTTGTGCTCATGACCATTTTTTGAGGAACCGTTAATAGAATTACTGATAATTGTTAATGTAACAAATTAAATAGTTTTATAAAGTATAGTAAATACTGTATGGATTAGTATAAACGGCTATACGTAATAGCAATAGAGAAAAACTAGTAATTTAAATAACTATCACGTTCTCTTACACCTTTACTTACCCTAAGTAATACATATAATGAAATGTATTCACCAAACCATGTCCAGAAATCAATTTTTAATTTTAAAAGTGAACTTTAACGTCCAAAAAATTCAACTCACCATCGAACTACTGAAAAGTATTAGCCATTTGTGAACAAGACCAAACTGGCCATACTTCTTATTTCATCAGGTCGTAGAAAGGTCAAAATGTTGTAAGGTGAAATTATCAAAACAGTGTGGTACAGAGTTGTAGTGTGTATGCTTTCCACTTTTGATATAACTGTATAAACACTATATGAACCATAGGCTCAACATACACAAATGATTGTTTAGATTATTTACATTGTTTATATTGTTTACTTTATTTACATTGTTTATATTATTTACATTGTTTATATTGTTTACATTATTTACATTGTTTACATTATTTACATTGTTTATATTATTTACATTGTTTATATTGTTTACATTATTTATATTGCTTACATTCTTTACATTGCTTATATTATCTACATTGTTTATGTTGTTTCTTGGATAAAACTAAATGCTCTTGAAAGTATGTACATTATGGACAAAAACGTTTAGGTTGAACTATGCTGTGAGTATTATGAACGTACGGGGCATGCGAACAGTCTGGAATCATAGGATATTTGAAAATTTTCTTAATTTCATATACCTGACTGGTTGTGGCGCTGTCAAAGCATTAGAAACTCGAGTTTATCGTGCTGTTAATCCAAACTTATTTCGAATTACAAAGACAGCGTGTGAAACACATTCCGTAATATCTGTTGAAGTGCCTGAGGTTCCAGACTTTTCGGACACTCTGTATTGTAAATCTAAGGAATAGATAACTGTAGATCTGTATTTTGCTGCGTTAACGTTAAAATCTGAAACTGATATATACACTTTTAAACAATCTCTATTATCGCGGTTAGAAAAGGCGCCCAGAATCCTATTGGTTAGCGTACGCGAACTGTGGACTTGAAGTTTCACAGTTCACAAAAACTCGCTGTGCACTTTGGGGCTGTGGATACGCTATCTAAAAGTGATGGTCAAATCCTTCTGTTCCATCAGACAAAAGTAGCCTAAGAGGTGGGGTTTGGTGCTGTTAGCTAACTGCCTTCCTTCTTAATCATCAGTTCGAAATTAGGGACGGCTATGCGCATGTAGCCTTTCTGTAGCTCTGAACGAAAATTCTAAAACAACAACGATTATACTTTACTTCATAATTCTTAGAGCCAAATAGCGTAAGTGCTGGCTAAGATCATTCAGCATTTCATTCCAGCTGGTGTTTGTGACCATATCCTATATTATTTTCAGAGTGAATAATTTCTTTTCGAAATTGGTGTTTGTGACCATGTCCTATATTACTTTCAGAGTGAATGTTTTTCGAAGTTGGTGTTTGTGACCATATCCTATATTACTTTCAAAGTGAATGTTTTTTTTCGAAATTGGTTCTTGTGATCATATCCTATATTATTTTCAGAGTGAATGATTTTTTTCGAAATTGGTGTTTGTGACCATATCCTATATTACTTTCAGAGTGAATGTTTTTTTCGAAATTAGTTCTTGTGATCATATCCTATATTACTTTCAGAGTGAATGATTTTTTTCGAAGTTGGTGTTTGTGACCATATCCTATATTACTGTCAAAGTGAATGTTTTTTTCGAAATTGGTTCTTGTGATTGTATCCTATATTACTTTCAGAGTGAATGAATTTTTTTCGAAGTTGGTGTTCGTGACCATATCCTATATTACTTTCAGAGTGAATGATTTTTTCTTTTCGAAATTTATTTTTGGTGAATGAAATTCTCAGCTGAGTTAATACAAT